CCCATATGTATACAATATACCTATTATTCATCTATATTACACCTGGTATGGCCCATATGTATACAATATACCTATTATTCATCTATATTACACCTGATATCGCCCATATGTATACAATATACCTATTATTCATCTATATTACACCTGGTATGGCCCATGTGTATATAACATACCTATTATTCATCTATATTACACCTGGTATCGCCCATGTGTATACAATATACCTATTATTCATCTATATTACACCTGATATCGCCCATATGTATACAATATACCTATTATTCATCTATATTACACCTGGTATGGCCCATGTGTATACAATATACCTATTATTCATCTATATTACACCCGGTATGCACTACATGTACATTATCAATAATTAACTTCTTTACCTTTAACATTTTTTTGTCAATGTGTTTTAAGATTTGTTGATTACATTTTTTAGTGATTTTCTTTGCTATTGCATCATATTACCAGAATACAAACAAATACATCTATAAAGTGGCAAAGTATAAAAATGCAAAAAATTCTTATAATTGCTGGATTATGGGAAAAAGAAATGTGATTTTAAACATATTTTTTTATGTGTTGATTGTGTTGTTTGCTACTATACAAGTTCCTTAACTTAACTAATTAATCCTACTTCGTCCCTCTAAATATTCACAATTTTGACACTTATATTTTATTACTGCTTTTATTTTTTTGTGTTGATTGTGTTGTTTGCTACTATATAAGTTCCTTAACTTAAGTAATTAATCCTACTTCGTCCCACTAAATATTCACAATTTTGACGCTTATGTTTTATTACTGCTTTTATTTTTGTGTTGTATCCTAAGCAAATATCTCAAGTAACCAATGATAGTTTACACTGTTGGAAGAGTGGCACTTACATAATTCTCATTCATCTCAGTCATATGTTAATGTTCAAAATATTACTTAAAATATAATAAATCTATTATAAAAATAGGTTTATTCATAATTGGCAAGTACAAAGAATGATAAAAAAGTTAAAGAAAACTTAAAAATCATACACTACAACATTTGTATCTTTCCATCAAACGACATACCTGTTTTCAAATCTTATAATTACCTGTAAACACTAAATACTTAGATAAACTCAAGCTTTAGGCACACAAGTTAATGGAAAAAATATATCAGGGTAGTAAATGCTGATCACACGTTTACATGATACATGGAATCTTAGAGCCATAATTAGCATTATGTATATTTTCTCTCAAATCATATTCCTTTTTTTTTGTGTTCTAATTTGGAGTACAAAAAATAAAAATAATAAAATGGAATACAGAAAACTGTCCCCACGGAATCCCATTCTGATAAATTCTGGCTTACAAGTGACTCTCAGTTTTGTTGGCATCTAGTGTCTGAAATTAAGGATGAAAAGCTGTTCAGATACCAGGGTCATGATGGAGGATGTTCTTAGGTGGGGTGTCCTAACTAAAAAAAAATACATTTTTCCCATTTCTTCAGGCTATAAAAATGTATTTTAATAATTTAATTAGTTTTTGTAATGATAAATGCATGGAATGTAAAAAAAAAACAACATTACCATCCTGCATAAATTGCTCAACTATACATGTCAGTGAAGTGTTTTTAGTGTCTTTTCCTCACCACATGAATGCCACTTGCCACACGCCACTTTAAATCAATTTTATGAATGCCTCTACTTAGGTACAGCTCTGAATTACTGAAATTGGGTGAAATTCAACAAACTAACAAAACTGAGTCAAATAAAAAGACTGAATCTTTTCTTTCCCACCAAAAACTGTTGAACAGCACAAAAATGAATGTATAATTTTAAAGTATGTCTTTTCATACACAGGTTTAATCTTATGTTTTGCTGTTTTTGGTATTCAAAAAAAGAAAAAAATTTGTATGCAAAACTCAATTCTTCTTACAGTTATGAACTAATTTTTCAAATATAATTTAATAATTAAAGGTCTTTCCTAATAATTGACTTTTCCAACTACATCAAAAACCTGTGCTTTCTCTAAGTATGTGATAGCAATGCTATACTATAATGATACATCAAGCTTCCAACCAAACAACATCACTGAAATTTGCAAATTTTACAACCCAAAAATGTCAGTTATCATAATTCAAAAAAGTATGTATAATTATATAAAACCATTATTATTTCCAAACAGCAAACATCATGTAATTGTATTAACACAAGATCAATATAAAACAACTTATTAGTATACCTCTATGTTGGGTGGGAGAATAACTACAAAAACAAGACAAAGCCACAGACATGTCTGCATATTAAACAATATAACTTCTGTCAAAATTCAACACTCAATAAGTTTATTGTTCACAACAATTTTGGGAAAATGAAAACACCATGACAAGTTTCCTTATTGAACTCGACACACATACAAAGTAATAGTTCTCACGAATCAGTCTGATGACTGTGTGTCATCTCTTGAATACTAGTTTTAGAGTTTTAGGAGTATCCATCCTACATCTATTAACTGACTGGATTTTATTTCATATTGAAATAACTCGGTTTAAATGGAATATGAAATATGCTAAATCAACCATGGATAACTACTAAAAAGGCTAGATTAATCAACACTTGTATAAAGATTCCTAAACTCTAATGTAAAGTAATATAAAGTAATATAATTATGATGTACAACTGTACCAAGTATTTCCAATAACACAACTTATACATGTCAGTTCTTATAGAAAAAATATATTATTTTTAATAGCTTAAAATCAAATGCGTGTTTAGTGAATAAGAGTTTTGAAAAAATCATTTTACAAAGTTCCTTTATAGTATGCATGCTCAATTTGTATGAAAAGTATTGAACTCTATATCTATAAAGCTGATTTCAAGTGTTTTTCATTATCATATTTAAACAGTAGTTAATATCAAAACACTTCTTTTCTTTTGATTACTCCAAGAGGCACTTTCTAAGCCTTTTCTTTTGCTACTATATTCGTAAAAAATAATTTTGAAACTTTGTTGTATTTACCTTCAGGGGCTAGATTAATACGAAACAACTTGCTGTTGAATCAAATGAGCTAATAGACAGATGTTATTAATCCATATCATTAACCTTGAGTCTAAAAAATATTCAACAAAACTACTCTGTAACAACTTACAAAACTAACAAAATTTGTTCTAACTGGTAAATATAAAAATAATATCAAGAAGCTGTGTGTTAAGTGTTTTCACTTAATTGTTTATATGAACGTCTTTCATCACAACAATCTGTACTAATTATGACATAAAACCTTTAGATAAACATTAATATTACAAACACTATCACCTTGGCCTTTAAAATTTGAACTTATGCTGGATAAGAAAATTTAATTGCTTGGTATAAACACTCTTTTCTAAGAATTATATTTATTCTGCTTTTTAGTCATGTGAAGTTCTGAATAGACCCATATAGTCCTTGCACTTGTTGATGTGATTCTTGCTTGAAAAATAAACATTATCAAAATACTTGAGAATGTTTACTGTCTGCTTCTACAGTTACTTTCCCACCACAACATAAAAGTATTCTTTAGACCATGGTAAAGAAGGACTAACTCAACCATCAAGGATAGCCTCCTTTAGAGTAAACGTTTCTTGGCCTTGCAGATGGGGTATGTCACCTGCATGAGCCATCTTTTTACCCATTGCTAATCCAATTGCAAAAGAGTAGACACGAGAATCAATGATCAGTCCCTGTTCACTATAATCTGGAAATAGAAAGAATTATATATATATATAAATAAAATTACATATTACACATAGTCTGCATATATAAAAGTACGAATATTAGTCAAAAGAAATGCTACAGCAAGAGCAACACTAACAAAAATTATATCATGTTATCGACCCATTTCTTTTGATGATCAATTTCTGACATGATACATATTGTAATACACTGAAAATGATACCAATATGTACTGTGATACTCTCCGATGCTTCATTTTAAAGATGAAACACAGATACAAGAACTACAAACATCTAAATGGGTACTCAAACAACTTTTTAAATTTATTTATCAAAGTACAACAACACTTTGGACTTCATGATGCCTAAATATGTGGTAGTAAGGAAAAATACAAAATGTCAAGAAAGGGAAAAGACACAGCAGTCATATCTTTATATTTATATTAGTAACAGGTGATGCACACAAATTCACATTGAATATGACCGATAGTGTATTTTTATCACTTTGTAGTTCCTACTTTTGCAGGACCTCAAAAGTCAAAATATAGTTTACAATCCCTCACACTATAACTTGTAACTTGATGTTATTATTTTTATATTTCTTTTACCCTGACTTTCTTAGTTTACATAACTATGTATATTCATCATAGATTTGAAAGTTCTCTTCCTCTATTTTCTCCCCTTATGATGTTAAACTAAATATATACATATAAATCTACTGGGTAAATTTTCACTCAATTGTACCATATTAGCCTTTATAAGTTCATAGTAAAAAGTATTAGAAAACTTTAATCTGTGATGTATCATTGTGCTGCCACCTACTGACGTTTTTACAACTCATTTTAAAGTAACTTAAGTCTTAACCCTTTCGAGACAGGTCATGGGTGAAAGGCCATGTCATGTCGTTTGTTGACTCACATTCAAAATTTTACTGAACTACTATTTCATGAATTCATGTCAATAAGTTTGGTATCAAACTGTAGATTATAATTCAAATTTTAGTACTATACATTACTCAATTTCTTAATTTAAAAGTAAATATTAAAAAAACACAGATAAACATTGATGTCATGTGGTGTGTTGAATGCAATACTGGTTCAAATTAGATGTTTGTGAAGTCAAAATACTAAGTCTATAGTTTTATATGAATTAGAAACTCAAATTATCAATACTGACAAGTTAGAATATAAAATAAGAAGGTCTTATCTTTTCTATTTGTTAAGATATTGCTTATGTAATAAATCAAACACAGTGGCACCCTTCTCACCTCTTTCCATTTTCGGAAACACTTCCTTAAATACACTTAGTTCTACATATGACATGAATAACCAATTGGAAGCTCAGAATGTCCCCCTAGTCGCTTTCTCAGCCATTTCTTTCTTTTAAACCAAGATCTCATATTTTTTTAGACTAAAATACATCTTAGTTACTAAGCTTGATAAATTATAGTTGAATTCTATGGTACAGTTGTAGTAATTTATTATGGAGGATATGAAACAAAATATTTTTTTTAGGTTTTATATATACATTTGAATAACTAAAAAATGTGCAAAATTTTTAAAGGCTTAGCAACCTATGTCAAGCAGCAACCAAGAACAAAGGTTGTAACTAGAAGAGAAAATTGTTTGCTTTACTTCTTTATGTACTTATCTATTTTACTGTGAAGTAGGTGTATGTCAGCAAGTATTTTCAAAAATTGAAGAGGTGAGTGGGGTCACCATGGTTGATTCGATAAATATATTAATATCTCAGAAAATAGAAAAGATAGGTGGTTCTCATTTTATATTCTAGCTTGTCAGTATCAGTAATTTTAGTATCTAACTCATAAACTATAGACTTTGTATGTGGACATCACAAATATCCAATTTGAACCAATGCTGCATTCAACATTCCATGTGACACACAAAAATCGATATTTAGGAATTTTGTTTAATATTTACTTTTAAATTAAGAAATTAACTGATGTGTAATACTAAAATCTGAATTATAATCTACAATTTGATACCAACCTTATTGACATACATTCATAAAATAGTAGTTCACTTAAATTTTGAATGCAAGTCAACAAATGCAATGACATGACCTTTGACCAGTGTTGGTATGGTTAAGCTTTATAGCCTACATGTAGAGGTTACATATACATGTATATAGTCATTAGAAATAGCTCATTTTACACTATAATCTAACAATGGTTATTTTGAAATTGGCATGCAGCTTTTGTCACAGGGTACGTGTAACTGCCTGTAGTATTGTTGGCTGCTTGATCGACTATAGCACTTGTATTTGTTTCTTACCTAAATATGTTATAGTTAGAGATACAGTTAAATTGTATTTAGGTTTTAATTTTATATTTTAGTTAATTTTTTATTATTTACGTTTTAATCTGCATATTTGAAAGGTTTAAACATTTTTTAAATATACATCACACTTTGCATCAGTTCTTAAGGCTTACAATATTATACGGTACACAAAAGTTTAGCTGTAGGGTTGTGCATTGCTGCCATAGATACTGTAATATTCCTTAGGGAAACCATTGACTTGTGTTGAAATGAATGATAAATGGTAAGGAACAAGAAAGGAAAATAAAATATAATTGAAAGGTTTAAACATTTATTAAATATACATCATACTTTGTGTCAGTTTCCAAAGCTTATGATATAATGCAGTGCACGAAACTTTTGCTGAAGGGTTGTGCATTGCTGTCAGAAATACTGTAATATTCCCTGAGGGCACTGTTGACTTGCGTCAAGATGGATAGTAAATGGTAAAGGACAAGAAAGGAAAAATCAAACATTAAAAACTAGCTATATGTGAAAAGGACAATACCTGAAATTAAGAATATAACCAAAAGACAATTTTTTTAATCATTCGACAAAAATTTAAAAGATGTTTCTTTTTACCTAATATTAATTGTTTCATTGCATTGTATGTTAATGATAATAGCTAAAGTTAGGGATATGTTAGAGAAAATAAAAAATGAAATATAAACATTTTTCTTAAAAATAGTTTGATATTCATTCAAGAGGTTCTGGAGATTATGCAAATAAAATATGAAGACTATATAATGAAGAAAAGTATTTTTATACTTAAAATGAAAATCACCTTGCACTCAATTTATTAAGAGTTTGAGTGCAAATAACTACAATAGATAAATAACATTTTTAGTAAAAACACTTAATTAAAATAATGTCATTCTTTCTGTACAACTTATGATCTTTAACAAAGTCTTATCAGTTTTACCAGAGGATACATTAAGAAATCTCAGAGTTCCACTATGTATTGTTACACAAGTAGAATTCCCGATATGGTGTTCTGTAAATTACATGAGCCCGTTGCGAAAGAGTTAATAACTTCACATCTATTAAAATGGTAAATATTAGTACAGCCTACAAATTCTTTATAATACTGGATCTCTGCATTATATGTTGCTCACAGCAATAAGACAGAGGTGAATAGGTTTAGAATATTTTAACTGACTTTACTATAAGATGAAAATCTTTCAGAAAAATTATTCTTTGACTTTTTTATTTTCATAATTATTTTATGTCAGACATTAATTACATGTTTTATTGTTAATTAATGATTAAGAACACACAATGATCTGGCCTGGTGGTAAGGGTACTCGACTTGCAATCTGCATGTAAAGGGATCAAACCCTGATGCCATGGGGGGGGTGTTATAATGTGATGATAATCCCACTTTTTTTGGTAAAGAGTAGCCCAAGGATTGATGTTTCATAGTTTAGTTTTGACTAACTGTCATCCTTCTTGTCTGTCACTTCGAAAGTAGGCTATTAGCTATAATATTTGAATATGAACAATATACTTCAAAGATTCTGATGAAGATTCCCTGTTGGCTCAGCAGTATTCAAACTTGAAGGTACTAAAAATTCTAAAATTCAAGGTTTGATTCCTCAATATGGACATAGTGCAGATAGCCCATTCTGTAGTTTTGTGCTTAAATTATAACGTAACAAGCAAAAAATGAAAAAAGTATCATCTTGTGCATTTGTAGCCAACCTTTATTCACCAACACTTAGATATTTATGTGCTGTGTTTTTAAAACTTTTTACCAATACTTCTAGCAAACAATAATAACAAAGTAATAAAAGCCTGGATGATATTATTTGACTATATTCAGAAACCCATAACTTAGGAGTTGAGTTTTACAAATATGAGCACAAATAAACACTTTTAATTTACAAAGATAAATGGAATATTTATTAAAACAGTTTGAAAAAGTGCATTAACAGGAATGGAGAAATGCATGATTATTTCTTTCTTTTAGTTTAAAAACTCCATCAAAATTGACAGATAAATATTTAGTGATTACAGAAACAGTAATGGAAGATATAAAATGTATTTTATGTGCTACCAAGCTCCACCTCCAACTAGAATACATTTAGAAAATCATTTCAGATTTTACAAGGTACATGATTTTGTAGATTGATATAACTTGTAACTTTCACCAAAAAATTGAGCAATTTTCTTGTGATGAAAATGAAAATCACATGGATAAAAGTCTATATATTTTAAATTTTTATTTGAGGGGATATAACTTGGTAAAGTAAATTTCTTGAAAATGATATACTTAGATCTCACACACAAAAGTTAGAAGTTTTGAAAAACTTTGTTATCTCTGAAAGTAAATTAGATATTGAGTTAAACAGTTTACTATAAAAGGGGTTAATATATTTGAAATAATTTCTTCATAGTTTAAGTTTCACTTATGTTTTATGTTACAAATAAATATATTTTAGTATGCAAGTCAATGCTCTTGTATATATGTACTCTAATCATGTTGCTCATATTTTGGATTGAAATTTTCATCTGGTTCTACAATATACTTTGACTGATGGTTGTTGAAATAGATGTTTAGTTGAAATGAATGATCACTTTTGTATATCTAATACAGTTCTTGAAGAATATTATGAAAAACAGTTGCCATTTGTGTCCCAGCAAGTTCGTGAACTTTGGGATCTCCCACCGTCAGTGCTTGAGATGAACGATATTGCTTTAACTGCAAACATGGAGTGGGAAAATGAATGGAACCAATCAGGGCTTCCTTCTAGGTTGACTGAGCAGGTGTGTATGTTGTTACAAAGAATTATTGTGAATAATTGATATCAGTTTCTTGTATGAAGTTTGCAAGGTGTATAGGCCTGTACAAGATAAGGCATTTTTTCCGATCTCGTGAGATGCTTTTTGTCTGTATATTATGGTGTTATTCATAATTCTAAGTAAGTAAAACTACAAGTATCTTATCTGTACTTCAGTTTCAAAGCATCACTGTGATTAAGGCATTTTCTATTATTATTATGACTGGAATACAGATAAATATATAAAGACTGAATGCTTAGAAAGAATCACAGGTAATTAGTAATTCTGTAATATTTTTGTATTATAGGAATACAAGCAAAAGAAGAAAGAACGCATTCAAAAAAAGATAGCTGAACACATTAAACAATCATTTCAAAACTCAAAAGGACCTGGAAGAGGATCACACTCCTCAGCAGAACTTCACCAGCTTCTATCATCTATGTCTGAGAAGAGAGAAGTAACTGGAGTCATTAAAGGTTCCAGATTTGTTCGGGCAGAAAAGCTTCAGTTTGCACAGGTACATATGCTTTATTGTTATTTTCATCTGTGGGTAGGCAGGTATCAAAAATGTGTTTGTAGTGTGATCACGGTTTAGTAGCACTTAAGTTTTCACCATCAGGAATCAGCATTTTATAATGGCCGAATCTACTGAACTGCAAAAGTCAAGAAGATCTTGGCAGCAGACTTCATCAGGAATTTTGCTACAATGAAACACAGATAACTTGTGTTTATATGACTAAAGCCAAGTAAATATTATAACAGAGCTGATCAGCTTACGTAGAAAAACTGAAGTCAACTCTTCTCCCTACTAAATTTGCATATTTAAAAAAAAATATTGGATCAGACTTAATTGAATTATATTCACTTAAAACATTCATGACTTCAAATTTGTATAGGCTATTGCATTTTGAAATAAACTTAATGGAAGTTTGACATAAGTCTAAAGTTTTAGTTTTTAGCACTTGTAAGAATGTAGTGAAAAAATGTGTTTTTTATGTTAATGAGAAGATATAGATTAACATGTGCCTCTGGTAGATGCAATAAATATATTACATCACTGAATATAAACAGATTACAATGGAAAAATAGTGTTTAATTAGTCTCTAAACAGTTACCTAACCAGATGAATATCTGTTTAACCTTGTTTTCTTGTATTCAGAAATATAAACTTTTTTTTTTGCCTGTTATTCAGTGTTTAACGAATGTCTAGGTATATTAATTTGGCACACAAATTTTAATTCTACTGCCCATACAAGTCTGTTTTCTCAGAAGTTTAATTTAATTCTTTCATACCAGGTGGCAGCATATTTTCATTTATGCATTTGGAGTTGAAAATCAATAACTCATAAATGTCTTCTTCATCACATCTGAAACTCAGACACTTCAAACATACAGTCACATGTGAATATACTATCACAGGCCATATGATGTCATGTGCTAGCTTGTTGAAAGACACTTATGTCTTATCTATAGAACCTACCCGTATACTCTTTACACACACACACACACATTATGTACTACTGTTTCAAAACGAAGTCTCACTATTCTAATCAGAGGCCACACTTATGGAACAAACTAAAGATTTACACAGTTGTGGAAGGTCTGAGCATTTAGCATATGCACATTTATTTTTGTTACATTGATATGTGTATGCTCAGTTGTTCTTAAACCTAACTAAGCTTACCTGATGTTACCATAGGCATCTTCTAAACTTCCCATTAGATTCCTTTGTTCATCCCACCAGGAGCTCCATATAGTCACTATCCCATGAAACTATAAATTGCTGCTCAGACCACTTTATTTACTCTACATTGATATAGATTGTTTACAGTTTATTATAAACAGTCATATTTAAATTTTACCTATTACTATTTTCTAAGTTGATTCATTAATAATTGTGCCTGGTGGTTAGGGTGCTTGACTTGAACTGCAGGTTGCAAGTTCGAATCCCTGTCACACTAAACATGCTCACCCTTTCAGTTGTTGAA